GAAGGGCAGCAATAAAAAAGATCATCAAGTATAAAGATAGGTCACTGGAGAGCAAGAATGTGATGGTCCACAACAAGAAAAAAAAAAGATTCATTTGATATATGGTGTTGGAGGACAGTTTTGCAGATACCATGGACTGCCAGAAAGATGAACAAGTGGGACAAGGCAAAGCAAAGTGTGCTGCTTATATACCACCCATGGATTTAAAGCTTTCTCTGGGTGGTTTACAATTTAATCATACAGGCAAACACCTCTCCCTCACAAGCTATTCAATTTCCTGACCTCGGAAGAATGGAAGGTTGAGCCACCCTTGAGTCAGCAACCTAAGCCCGAAATTGAAAAGTCACAAGCAGCGTCTTTACTGCAGTGTAGCAGTTTAAACACTGTGCCATGAAAGTCCTAGAGTAAATCAAGCCTGGAGGAGGCAAAAATGATGAAACTGAGGCTGTTGTTCTTTGGGCACATCATGAGAAGGGAGGATTCACTGGGAAAGACAATAATGCTGGGAAAGGCAGAAGGCAGCAGAAAAAGAGGAAGACCAAATACGAGATGGACTGATTCCCTGGGATCCTGCAGGCTTTTGTTTACAAGAGCTGAGCAGGGCTATTGAATACTGGACATTTTGGAGACTGTTTGTTCATAGGGTCACCATAAGTCCGAAGCGACCTGACAGCACATAGCAATAAAAACAGGAGAGTCTATTGTGGAGGAAAGGAAACGTGTTAAGCCCAGCTCATATGCAGCAGGTTAGATGGAAGGAGAGGTAGTCTCTGTTTTCCCTGCCTGTATCATTCCAGTTCTTTCCCATTGAAGTGGCATAACAGATTTTAAACAAAACCATTGCTGTATTTGGAGTTAGTGGGTTAACTATTTTCCTCTTTACAGCCCAGATTTTTCCCTTTTTTGTAAGAAAAACTGTGCTTCAGTCCTGCACTAAGGGAGCAGTGTGGAAATCTCTTACCTTATCCACAACAGGGATGTGCACAAGTACTTCTAACTCAGTTCAGGCCTGAATAAAGAGCAAACCTATCCAAGGTCCACCTATACTGTGCGTTTTTCCGTCACTTGAACTCAGCCTTCATGAAAGTATTTGTGAGGATGTCACTCCTGCAAATGAGGATGTGCACATGAGAAAGCCAGGCTGTAGACCGAATGGCATGGGCAGAACACCGGAGGCCATGGGCAGAGTTGGGCACTCTATTTTACCCACCCCACTTTTTCCAGAAAAAAGCCCCAATTAGCTTCCTAAGGGATCCACCAACAAGGGATTGATTTTTAAAAGGGCAATGGGTACAACTATCTTTTATTCTTCTTAAAAGGGGGCAATGCAAGAAGCCTGCTTTTCAAAATGTTTCTTATTTTCTTTCTCTTTTCCCCCTCCCCAATCCTTCCTGTTTTCTGGATTTGAAATTAATGTTGCTGCAGCCACAAGACACTAATGATGTAATTAATGACTATACAGGACTCAAGAACCCGTTATTTCTAAATTAAATAACACATACGTATTCTCCTTCACTGCCACCAACTCAGCACGTTAATTCTTCTTTCCCTTTTCCTTCGAGATAATTGTGGCACAGAAGCCTGGACTTAGCATAGGAGATCTGTGCAGCCAGACTGTTGATGGGCACTGGGGACAGAAGCATTTCACACCCCTATTTCAACTGCTTCACTGACCGCCAGACCACTTCCAGGTACAACTCAAAAGTGCTGGTTATGACCGACAAAGACCTACGTGGCTTGGGTCCAGGCTATCTGAATGACTGTGCCACCCTGTATAAGTTTCCTCAGCTCTTAGTCTTCTTGCCATTACCGCCATGGGCTTGTTTATTCAGGATGCAAGAGAAGGCCTTTTCAGTGGCGGCCCCCAGATTGTGGAATGTATTTCACTGCGAAACCAATTTGGCCCCCTCTACTTTTGTTGTTCTGTAACCAGGCATAGACCTTCCTTTTCAGGCAGGTTTCAAGTGATTTGGGAGTTTTAAGGAATGTTGTATTGATTGAACTGAAGGATTTTTTTTTTTAAGCTTCAGTGTCCTACCTTTGCAGAAGACTTCATAAGTCTTATGATTTTTGTGTGGGATAGCTATGCAAATGAGGGTGGTATGGTTGTTAGCTGCTTTGTGTTCCTATTGTATATAACTGGGATAAGAAAGATACAGATAAGAGCAGCCAGTATATCATTGTGTATATATGCAAGGTATCCAGATACGCCAGCTTTCCAGGGGTTGGTTTGCCGGAGGGGGGGGGGGGGGGGGAGCATGGGAATACATCTTCTTGAGGTAGATTGATGACATCACCTCCCTATCAACTTTTCTTTCATTCAGTTTAGCTGTAGTCCTATCCATTCTAGTGTCCTACCTTTGCAGAAGACTTCATAAGTCTTATGATTTTTGTGTGGGATAGCTATGCAAATGAGGGTGGTATGGTTGTTAGCTGCTTTGTGTTCCTATTGTATATAATTGGGATAAGAAAGATACAGATAAGAACAGCCAGTATATCATTGTGTATATATGCAAGGTATCCAGGGCTTTATTGAAGTCGGGCCGGGGGGGGGGCATGGGAATACATCTTCTTGAGGTGGATTGATGACATCACCTCCCTCCCTATCAACTTTTCTTTCATTCAGCTTAGCTGTAGTCCTATCCATTCCGATTATAGATCTTCCCAGCAGTGATAACCCTATTGCATTCAAATGCATTTGCAGTGGCTTCAACAGGCAACCAAGACCCATTAGCCTTACAAAGGACATGCTCCTATTTGTCCATGTGAATTTACACCACTGTGTTTGAGGAGGTGCAACTGTGGGAACTGTCAAGAAGCCAGAGACTTTTCACTACACCTCTGAAGTTGCTGGCAGATGATCTCTTTCCCTCTCTGCAAGAGAAATACAGAGTTCACCCACTTTCTCCCCCCCCCATTTCAGCAGGGGGCTGTGGTCCTGGTTTAAATTAAACTGGAAAGTTTTTCTTTGAAACAGGCAACACGCGCAGGCCAAGAAGCCAGGCAAACAATGGTAATAGTTACGGAAACACAGAAACGTCCCGGTGCCCACCCACGGTGATCTAATGCTTAGTATCCTCCACTCAGCAAAGGGAAAACAATTTTTTTGCTGTATACAAAGTGTAGAGACAATGGGATTCTCTTGCTTTTAATTTTTTTTGTGGTCTAATACAGACCTTCCTTTTGCATCCTCTCCCTGCCTGAATGCCACTTTATGAGGGCAATGGGGTGAAAGGGTTAATTCCTATAGGAATACTGTAGTTTGGTTTGGGGATCTTGGTTGAGTTTCTTTCTGACTTCTTTACTTTTATTAATCCCTTACTTTTATGTATAACTTCCTTTTCTCCAGAGAACCAAAAGCAATTCACATGACTGTCCTCCTCCCAGCCTAAAGCTCACAACATCCCTCTAAGGTAGGTCAGAGAAAGAGAAGGCAACTACTCAAGGCCATTGAATGGATTTCATGTGTCAGGGGCGGCTTGAGCTCAGATCTCACACATCCCGGTGTAACACTTCATCTAACTACAGTATATCAGGCCTGCTCTTTTAAGATTCTAGCTCTCCAACAGAGGAAGCCACGCTCCGTCTGAAGCTGTGTTAGCCAATGTGACAAATGGGGATTTATCTGCTGCCAGACAGTATGTTTCCTCCCAGTCCCATCCACAAATCTTTAAGCCATGTGTGCCTTAGCCCAGTCCTAATCGAGAGAGGGATTGGTAACCATTCTCCATCCCAACCATTTGCTCATATGTGATTCATGTGCAGAGAACATAGCACAGGGGCTGTTTGTTGGTAGCCCATAGAGACACTTAGTCACAAGTCAAATCACTTTCACGAGGGGATGCTAAAGCTCCCTTTCTCCCCTTCGCTTCATTTCCAAGCATGGAGTGGGCTCGCTCTGGATTGCTGTGCCTGGAATCTATTGAAAAGGCAGACAGGCCAATACTGAACATTCCTGGGGAAAGAGGAGGTGCTGAGGAAAGAAGAGGAAGGGCAACTGTTCAACAAATGGGCAGTGCTTATAGCCTCCTGAAACCAAAACTCAACAGAATTGGAAGCAGGCGGGGAAAGGCGTTGGTCTGCAAGATGAGCCAACACTCCCCTAATTAAGATAATCAGATAATTCAGAGACGGCTCAGTTTAGGACACACCCTTAGATCTTGCCTTGCCACTATCTACAAAAAGTTCAGACTCCCATTTTGCATATCCATGACTGGTGTGCAGCAGATCGTAAATTTTTTAAAAACTACCAAACAGCCAGGGGCAGGATCCTGGTTCAAGCCAACATCCGCCCCCACCCCCATGCTCCCATTAAATACACAGCAGTAAGCTAGAGGAATTGGTGGAGCCTGCCAATTCCCATTTCACTGCATTTCTTTCTGAATTTCATATTTTAAAAAATATTTGCATGAAAATTGGAATGACGTCTTTTAATTTGGTTTTACCTAACATGCACTTGGGGGGGGGGAGTTCTTCTAATGAAGTGCATGTTGAAATGCTTATAGTCATAGTGCTGACTTCATTTGATATGGGGCCCATTTATTGGTCTTTCTGGTGGTCCACAGTAGTCATATGGAATGTTCTATTTATGCCTCAAACACCCTACATTGAGGGAGTCCCATGGACAGAGTGTACCATGTTTTGTGCTAAACACATCTCTCCGCCATGGAGAACATGGCTGCTCTTAGTCAATTGTGCCCCACATTGGCTCCCTGAAGCAGCCACAACACTGTTGTGCTGTGGCAGGGTGCATACTGAGCCACTACATATAAGGTGCATCACTGAATGTAGAATACACAATTAAACTACTGTAGTAAATATTGTGACAACTGCTCCTTAACAATAGAAGGCAGACCTGAACCAGTGCATGTGGTTGAGCATGATTCCTTCATCTAAATGCCAACTTCAGGATCTGTTTCCTTGTGCCCAAAAGTGACCCCCCTCGAATGCCCAACGTTTTGGTTCCCGCTGTAAGAAAAAACAAACACACCGTACTTTTCTTCTTTTATATCTTTTAAGATGTAGCAGGGGAGACATCTTCTCCCCAGTGAGCCATCTGTGTGCTAACACCTCCACACACATTATTATGGATGAACAGTGTTAAGAGAGAGACAAAGTCAAACACAGGAGCGCCACATTTGTTGCTGGCAGAGTGAAACAGGGCTAGATTCCGGTGCTTGGAGCATTAAAATTAGCACCTGGGTGCAGCGCAAGACTATTGCATCCACGCACATTGTCCCAAGTCCTGCAAAGTACCGAAACTTTGGTGGAGTCCACAGGAAATAAGGCAGGTCTTACAGAAGGATCACGGCTTTCCCCACACGTCTTCCTTTCATCAGAAGCCACAACAGCCAATCAGTTTTAAGTCTGCTGGATATATCCTGCTCTGTTCCAACATGAGCTGACTGGAGTTGTCCTTCGGCCCCTTCTGTACTTGGCCAACAGGAGTGGGAAGGCCTTCCTGAGGTTCTCCTCTTCAAAAGTCCACCAGGATGCTATCACACATTTAAAAGCTCCATGGTTTCAAAAGGATTTTCTTAGACATGCAGCACTGGACAGTCCTTCCTAGTGCAACTATTCTCGTCACATACTGTAGGTGATGAGAGGGCCAGGTGGCCATTTGAAGGGTGAAAATCTTCCTTAAAAGGCTGGAAGAGTTGCTGCAGCTGCTTCTCTTCTTCCACAGGGATGAAACAGCAAGCTTTCATAGAATCCACGTTATAGCTGTGATGAGTTGACAGGTAACAGGTCAAGAGCTCCCAGTTCCACCAAGTGGCTGCATGGTTGAACCTACGTTGTTTCCAAGGACTTAGCAACTAGGACCATAGTTAAGCTGGATAACATTGCACAACACTCAATATAGAGTGCCCCTCACACACACACTTTATATTCTTATAAAGCTGAGAGGCATGGGATATCCCTTTGCATATCTGTAGAGACAGAGATGTAGATCAAGAAATCCTGGCGCTGACATCCTGGCAGCAGTCTTAGTTCTGAAAGGCTTCCCTTAGAAGATGCTGCACTGATTTATCTAAGGAGATGCTCACCTCTGGCAGAAGCTGGAAAGCTGTTCATCAAGGTGGGTAAAGTCATCTTTCCTTGTCTACTTGTTTTTTGGTTTTTTGGGGGGGATTACAATGCTAAGAATAGCCACACCGGCTGCGGGTTATGGCAGCTATAGTCTGAAAGCAACCTTTAATCTCTCCAATAAATTTAATGTCTCAGCTGAACAATGGTATGATGATGAACAGGGACCCAGAGCATCATCCTGCCACTGCTAAGTTACGGATCATTTTAGATTCACTTGCCTTAGAAAGCAACTTTCAGTTTTATTTTTTACTTTACGTTCTTGCCCTGGGTTGCAGATAGCAACTCTCAGCCTGATCTTAGGAAGGGAAGTGATTGTGAAGACCCAGTTAACCAGCTCATTCCCAACATGGCATGTGAAAAGGAAAACAGGCAGGAAAAAAATTACAGAATATTGCTCCTACTCCACTCCAGAAGAAAACATCAGGGTAACATGAAGAGTGCCACATTTTTGTAACAGTTGCAACAGAGATTCAGCAAAGTGATTTTGAGCATCCATCCCAGTGCTTGATGTGAAGCCCGCCTCATTTCTCCCGATCTGCTTCCAACCGCTCTTAATCTGAAAAGACTACATCTTCCAATTAAAATCGCACATAAACAGACATATGGCTTAAAACAAAAGCCAACTGTAACAGCTAACTTTTCAAACATACAAGACGCTGCAAAACACTAAAACACAGACAACGGACAATTTATTGCAATAACCAGCGGCTTGCTAACTGGTTCATCTCCCATTCCCTCTTCCTAGATCATGGGTTGAGAATACGGGCCGTTGGATGTTGCGGGGCTGCAACACTAATACATCCCTTACCACTGGCTGTGCCGGCTAGAGCTCGTGGGAGCTGCAATTCAACATGATCCAGAGGGCTCCAAGTTGTTCACCTTTGTTCTAAAAGAAGATATTAACTTCTACATTAAAAAGATGGGGAGAAAGTAGAATGCAACCTAGGAATCACCATGGACAGGGGGCAATGTTGGTCCACAAAAGATGCCAGATCTCAGCTCTGAAGCAGAGGAACCAGCCTCCCTGCTCTAAGCATCGGAATCTAAAATATAAGCTTGTTAGTGTTGTGAAATGTGTTTTAGATTAGAAAATGAGATCCCTCTTGTTATTAGGAAATGATCCTGGGGGGGTAGGGAGTGAGAAATACTCTGAAAAAAGCATCCTAGGTCCCTTCATATTCCACAGAGTGATCAAGGACAGTTTCAATAGAGCAATTAAAGTTTTTTCTAAAACGAATGGGAACCACTTGGTCCTCCAGATGTTTTGAACCTCAACTCCCAGAGTCCTTTTTAATATTGGCCAAGCTGGCTGTGGCTTCTGAGAACTGGAGTCCAACTCAGGTGAAAGCTAAACACTCCTCATCCCAGGCAACATTTTGCTTTAAAAATCTCAAACTCAGCCACTTAAGATGTGCCAGGGGAAGAAAAGGTAGGGGTCAGAAGACAGTGACATGTACAAAAACCCACAGATGCCTTCTTCCTAAAGCTGTGAAAAATCACCACAATTGACAACCACCAAGTGCATGATGGAGGCGAGAAGAACCAAAGCATGGTTCAAAGTAGCATTCAAAAGCCTCATTCTAGGAAAATACATCTATATGGAAGGAGTACGAGCCAGCCCTTGCTTCACATCTCTTCGGCCTTTGTTGAGCATTTCACAGGCAAAGAAAAAAAAAGAAAAAAAGAGGGGTGGCTGCTGCGGTGGGTGGGTGGCATATGTCATTAAAAATAACAGGCTAGAAAAGATGCCCTGGGTCAAAAATGCCATTTTCTCCAGGGCTTCTGAATTTTAACTCAAGGCTATTTTAAAAAGTGTGAACGAGTGAGAAAGAGGAGTAGAGAAAAGAGGGAAACACAAGCATGAGGCCCAGAAGGCCTCAGACCAGAAAGTATGATCTTGTTGTTCATGTCAAATAATCCCTCAAAACAAGGATAAGATTCTCAGGGACACACAGACAGACACACACACACACACACACACACACACACAAAACTGACAGAACTAGCCCAAAGAGCAGGTGACTGGATCAAAAGCAAGAGCCCGCAATGAAACCGGCAGCAAAGAGGCAGTGGTGGGATGGGTTTCTGCCAGGGGCCTCTTCTTCAGTGCCTGTCCCTGACTCCGAGAGAGCGGGACTGAGCAGATCTGCTCCACGGTCCATCCTCAGGCCTTCCCTGGGTGGGATTAAGAGGTCCAAGGCCTCAGAAGTCACTGAGAATGCTGATGTCAGCAAACTCATTCCTGTACCGGTGGGAGTACAAGCTGAGAAGGAAAGCCCACTTGAAGGAGATGACACTCCAGACGCAGGAGAGGTAGTAGCTCTTTGGATCTGTTAGGGCTAAAGGGAGGAACAAACACATAGAGACACCAGGTTAAGATGAAGAAGTGAAAAGAAGCACAACCTCCCCTTGTCCATTAGTCCAGACTCTAGTCTCTCTGGTCAGGAACATTATTAGCAACGCTCCCATCTCCCCAACCCCCGCCCCCAATGGCCTATTCGCTGTGACTGTGAATATTCAATAATGCAACAGTGAGGCTGATACTGCAGGCGTCCACCCCCCTCGCCCCCCCTCCAATTTTTTATTCAGTGAAGAGGCAACCTGTTTACATCCTGATGTTACGTATCAGGCTAAAATTCTCATCTCCTCCAACCAAGGGCCATGGAAGGTGAGGCTGATTGGAATTAGACAGAGTATTCTCAGTGGCTGCTCCCAGACCCTGGAACTCGCTACCAATTGGCCGGGCGCTGGCTATGTCTTTACTTTAATTTTTAATTTACTTGTTGTGTTTTACTCAGAGTTTTGGTTTTCATCTGCAGTTCATCAGTTCCTTTAGCCCCCCCTAATGCCTTTGTGGGAAGAAGAGGAGGTTATATATAATATAAAATAAATAAAATACATACTCCGATCTCTGGAGGACCACAGGTCCTCCTCCTCCTCCTACCCATTCACTTATGAAATTAAGACTGAAAGGGTCACATTGGGAGTGGGGATTGCCTACTGAGATCTCAGCAGCTGGAGCTAAAAAGGGGTGACTAATCCACTAGGAGCAGTGGAGGCATACCTGCTTGCTATCTAGACCAGAGGGTGGTCCTCCATCCTCCTCCTGGCCCCACCTCCTTCTGCAATATTTTAGGAGAGCTCATTATGCTGCTGTTTTACACCCCCTCATCGCCAGAGGTGGTAACTCTGGGTCTGAGCATGTTTTCCCCTTCTCCTCACCAAGACCCAGAATTGGCAGCCCCTAACACTGCTCCTATTTTTCTCCACATTCATCTTCTCCTCCTGCTAGCCAACAAGGCCAAAGAGACCCGTCTTTTTAAAGCCAGCAATAAAATTATGAATTCGCTGTGTTTTTTAAAATGGTTGTCCTGTTTACTTAAGAAGTGACTGATGTTTGTGTTACATTACTTTATGGCTGATATTTTTCTTACATTATACAAAATTACTGTGATGACTCTTATTATTCTACTACTACTACTACTACTACTCCTACTACTACTACTACTACTACTACCACCACCACCACCACCACCACCACCACCACTACTACTGCTGCCACTGTTACATTCAGTTTTGTGATTAACTGCTTGGACTGCATTATTTGTGGAAATGCAGTGTAAAAATGAAAACCCTGGGCAGGTTTTCAAAACAAAAACCACCAACCCATACTTACACTGGTGTTGTGTGATGGCCATGGCTAGGAATGTGCAGAATCCCACCACAGAAAGAATTCCAAAAAGAACGCCGACAAAGAGGAAGAACCTCAACCCTTTTAACCAAGTCCTCCAGTAATCCTGCACATACATCACGTGCGTGATCAGGGCCCAGAGAGCCAGCACACCTGCATGAGCAGAAAAAGCAGGGGGAAGAAAAGTTAATACCAAGCAAGAAAACCGTGAACTCCCAAGGTGGATCACCATCCTTACATTGACTTCAGGCTCTTGGAGTCCTGCAACTTATGTAGAATATATGCTACTTCAGGCTGCTGCTGGGTTCTTTGAGGTGAAAATATTCTTCCTTTCAGGGCATGCCTTGCATCTAGAAAACCAACATGTGAGGAGAAGGCTTGGCAAGACTCTTTCTCATTAACATGCTTGCTTTCAATGGGCAAGGAACATTTTTGGAATGTAGAAGGACAGTTCGTCTCACGGAGCCCCACCTGCAGATTAGATGATAGCTGAGGCACAGGCTTACCACCGCAGTGAAGACCAGGCCATACACAACCAGCAGAAGTAGGTGCCCCGGCCTGGAACATCAATATCACATGATATAACTATTTCTAGAGAAGAATGCTGGCTATTGTACCAAAGCCAACATAGAATCCCCTGGCACTTACTATATTAATGATTTAATGTAGTATAACCTCCATGTGCTTCTTAAAGACCCATCTCTTCACTCAGGCCTTTTCTGATCAGTTTTGAGCCTCTGATTTTAACACAAACAATATGATTGTTTTACTACTTTGTACTCTGATGTTTGTACTTTCATGTGCTGCAGTGATTATTATTAGGATTTTTACTGCTGCTAAATATAGGAAATGACATAGACATAAATTAAATTGTAAGTAAATAAATAAATAAATTAATAAGTACTTCTGTAGAATTCTGTTCACCTTAATCTGGTGAAATGAAGTGTTATCCTGAGGTATGTGCTCACTGATGCAGATGATTACCGGGGAGGGGGTGCTCTTTTATACCTATAGCTTACAAGAATATTTCAACCTGGTATTCTAGGTGTTTGATCTACAGATACCACCATCCTTAATGACCGGTCATGCTGGGCAGACTGTCTAAAACATCTGTAGGGCACTAGGCAGAGAAAGGCTGGGCTGATACTAATGAAAAAAATTCTTGCTCACCAAAGGCCACCCTACAATAAATCACTGAGTATGTAAAATATGATTCTGTGCTTTTTATGCTATATCACAAGACTACTGTTTATCTTATCTTCAGGGCTCTTAGATGGAACCAGTAGCAAGTGACAGTTACCTGTAGCTTAGTATGTTTTTTTCAATAAGATTGTAACAAAATTATATTTGAAAACTGATGTAGTGAGAAGAAACAAAGTTAATTTACGGAGGTAATGAGTAACATTTTCTTGTTATTTTAAATAATTTTTCTAGCCATTTTTTGAGGCAACTTGACCAAAATGTTTCAAATTTTATATTATTCTCTTATTAATTCTGAGCATACATCCCAAAAGCAATGTAACAAACATAATGAGCAGTGCAACAATGCTATGGGTTAAAAAGTACTCATTAGGATGTTGAAAAAGTAATTGACAGGTTTATTTTCACACACTGTAACAAGTAACAGGGACAATTTGCTTTCAAAAAGGAACTTTCCAAGCTTTGCTTGATTTTTTTTTTAAAAAAACATCAAGTCAGCAATAAAGCAGAACTCGGTGTATCATGAATCATCATAAAGATTTCTCTGTTTTGAGACTTTCTCACTGGGCAGGACTTTGGACCTGGTGTAACCAAAAATCCCTAGCAAAACCTCTGGACACCACTGTAGTTGGACAAAGCCACAGCAGTATCTCCTTAGGCAACATATTCCTGAAAGCAGTTGCACTGGTGCCTTTACCTAAACAGATATAGAGATGCACTGAATGAAGTCATGCTTTACACTTAGGCTTACTCCTGGGCAGAAATGCATAGAATGCAGCAGTGCTTTGTAACTCAGTGGGGTGGAGCGTTCAGGGACTGAGAGTTCAAATCCCCAATCCATCACTCTAGAGGGGGTGAGCTCATCAGACACATGTGTGGTTAATACGGATACAGTACATGTCCTTCCACCTGTGTGGACCTGGGCAAGTTGCGTGGTCGCCGAGTGGTTAACCATTTCTGAGTATTTACACCTACAAAACCCAGGGAAGGGCTGCCTAAGACAGAAGGGCACTTTGCTTTAATACAAGTGGTGGGAACACCTAAGGATTCCATCTGGAGTCACTCCCACCCCCACAAATGTACAAAGTAATTTTCCAGTATTGTTTCCAGGGTGGCAGTTGGAGGGTGATATGTTAACCTACTCTGCATGCATACTGCATATCAGTACAACAAAGTATATCAATTTGAGCATTTTAACATAATGGCTGAAATCCTGCGGCTTCATGTACACAGCATAATGCTGATGACCTCATCACCTTATGTAGCATATATTGTCCTGCTGGATTTTAGCCATTAACTAAACAATGGATTCCAGTAGGGAAGCCACTCCCCTTGTGAACACCCACAAACGTCCACCTATGCAGTCACACTGCAATATGCAGATTTAATCCACAGCTGCTAACCTAGCCTACCAACTAATCTATACATTGAGGAAGGGAAATATGGAGCCCTTCAGATGCTGCTGGACATCAGCCTCAGCCAGGATTGCTAAAATGATGAGGGTTGATGGGAGGGGAAGTCTGGCAACATCTGGAGGGCAGCACTCACAGGGTGGCCATGGGAAATTTGCCGTGCTTTCAGTCTTAATATACTGTCTGTAAGTGGGAACAAGGCAGAATGCCAACAGACCTGGCTAAACTATAAAACTTAAGTCGGAAGACAAGAGCAGAAGAATTATGGGTTTACACTGAAAAACCATAACCCACCCTCCCTCCCTGCCCTGATATCCGAGGACATCTCAAATGTTACATAGAAAATAGAATATAATGTGTGTGTGTGTGTGTGTGTGTGTGTGTGTGTGTAAGAGAGA